AAAATGCTTGTTTTGGAAATAAAAAAAAAAAAAACAGTTGCTTTGGATTTCTAACCGACTTCAAAAAAAGTTGCAACATTTTTTTTTTTATTGTATGTCACCGCATAACTTTGAACTTCGTCAACCTATTTCGACAATTTTTTTCATCGGTAAAGGTGGTACCTCAAGGGTGATCTCATACTAACTTAGTTTAAATCAAACCACTGAATCATGACGAATTTAACGATACTCCTAAATTTGTATATGTTTAGATCTCTCTCTCTCTTTTCAGTGAGACAGACACGAATTCCACCTCTCTCGCGATTTCTTGCAATATCACTGTGGTCTAGAAACCATATACATAAATCGGGCTAGGTAACACTCAGCGACCGAAAGTGGGGACCAACTAAGTAACTTTGAGCGAACCGATTGCCACTTAGCTATCGGAGTAGATATTTAACCCTCCTGTCGACGTCATGGAAATCAGTTAAAACTTCTTCCGTAATAAAATATACCTAAACATATATATTTAAAGAGGCCTTTGCAAAATACGCCACCACCGACAGCTATGTAAAGCTTCGACGATCCGTGGAAAAGTTCACCGGTGCTTCCTTCTAACCGCTGCCTCCCGTTCAATCATACCTAGAGAAGTACTAGTTGGTGGCAGTTTAGTCTCAAATAGTTATTAGCAGCTAACCTCAGCTCATGTTGTTCAAATAAGCCTTCAGTATGGATTCAAATATATACGAAATTACTTATGGAAAGGGACTGAAACAGTGCCTGTAGAATGTCGTTTAGGACCATCCAAAGCAGAGATTAGAAGATGCCACCTTGTGGTGAGCTTCTGTTTAGTTTTTGCTGCAAAGTAACAATTTCCGTTTCGAAGCTATAGTTCTCAAGCCTATGCTTAACTTAAGATCTGATGATTGCCCGCGGAGGGATATTACTAACAGAACCCTTGATGGCTGTTGACTTCTGTTTTGCCATCGGAATGATAGTTGACAAATATCGATAAAGCTGAAGAAGTTTTTGTAACATCTACTGGTTAAGAATAAGTTCAAATTATGTTAACTTATTTAAATATTTTGTGAGTCCTGAAATGAAAGGAACTTAGTTGGTATATAAGTAGAGCAAATACCCAAAGGCTTATGTAATCCAGTTTATATTCCAAAATGGTCTACTGTGCATAAAAATTCAACATTTTTCAAGTGATTGCGCTGATGTAAAAACAAATATTTAAATAAACAAAACAGATATAAAAGTTGAACAGATATAAAAAAACTTAGAGCTCATAAAAAGTACGATTGGTTAAGGAAATACCAATGAATTTTAATCACAATGCAATGATGTTATCAATGTGCAGTGTTGCACAGCTACATATGTACATATAAACCCTTATGCACAGATATGTCGTTCCTGTAAGTACAGACAAATATGTGCACATTTACATAAGTACATATGTATACGAGTATACATGTTTCCATACCACATACACGGTTAAAAATTTCGGTTTTAATTTTAAACATTTTGAACTACATATATGAACCAAACAAACCTTCCAAGTTAAAAAAAGAGCACATATTTTGGGTATAGAATTTAAACAGCTCGGTTTGAATTTTAAACCCAAACATTTTCTATTTCGTTTGCTTCACGTTACACTTCACGAAAGCTTTTTCATAATTAAGAATAAAAAATAAAAAATCTTACATTTCATGTTCCAACTGATGGGGATTGAACCCGGACAGCCTTGGTAGCGCCCAATTGTATCACGCATCTTTACACACTCAGCTACAGCCATCCATGAAAATGTGCTTTCAAATGTTGAGTTTGAATCAACACCACACTTCGCTGCGTTGATGCTGTCAGTTCATAAGATTTGCTCTCTCTCTCTCTGAGATACACCCTTATGCCTAAGTCTTATAGGTCATATAAAATAAGGCATATTTAGGCAAACGTTTTCTCTTTCGGTTTAGATTGTAAACAAAATTTTCTATATATGAAACCTAGAAACTAGAATCAAAACATTGTGGTTTGATTTTCAAATAAACAGGGAATATATTTGAAACCACGAACTTTTTGTTTTAATGTTAAACCACTCAAAGCAAAAGATCATTTTCTCGGCTGCTTGGACTAAAGTTTAAACCAGAATATATTAAAAATTGCTTAAAACTGTCGACTGCTTGAAAAAGTTGACTATAAAAGATTAAAAAAGGCAGCAGTCCCAGCTCGGCTTAAAAATTAAACCCAAATTTTTAACCGTGTAGGCAAAAAATACGAATTTTTACTTTAATTTTTTCTGCTGGAATATTTCATATATTTTTTATTGTTTTAATAAATATTGCCTCCATAACGCGGATTCAAATCTCATAAAATAATAGAATACATAGTATTCTTCTGCAAATATAAATATTTTATTTAAAAACATCAGTGGTTCCAATTGTTTCTCGATTGACTAATTCAAATAATAAACACTAAAAACTTCGCTTCCTTCTGATTCAGGTGCTGATACTCATATTGTGCACATAAAATAAAATACGAATTGTTTTAAAAATTATCTATTGTGGTGAAATATTTGTTTTTTTGTATTTCCTGTGGTTCCAATTTGAAAGCGACGATAAAAATATGTGTTGCAATTTTTCTCTTGAGAGAAGTACTATTGGATAGCGATACATTCCCTATAGTGTATTAGGACATTCTAGGTGCATACCTGTAAATGGTAGCCCCTCTTCCATTTGCAGAGTCGTCTGAGGTAAAGAAATTCACAGCACAAAAGTCAGCTATTAGCAAGAGGAGCAAAAATTGAGCCATACATGGAGAATGAGTAGACAAAAAGTCTTGTCTCAAACTGTCTAGCAGCTGCCAGTAACGATATTTTCTTAATTTTTGTCCAATCACAAAATACCTCACAACCGCTGAAGCAGCAGAAAAAGAATAAGTATAAATCTAGGAACTGTAAAAGAACTGAACGGAAAAAGGTTTCAGATATATGTAAGTTTACTGTCCAAATATGATTGATCGTTTGATCGTTTGATAAATAAATGCGGTTGACTGTTGACTGACGAAATCTAGTATAAACGTTCGCAAAAAAGAAGAAATGGAAGAAACCTATCTCTCATGATTTTAAATCTGGCACTCACTCAAGTAACACAGAAGTCCTTCTTCGTCGAAACGACGACGCATTTTTTGAAAACCGTTACTTACTGGCTTCCAACTCGGCTGGGCGTTTACACAGATTAACAGCTTAGCACCGACTAATACTACAAAAAATATTCTCTCAAAACTATATAAAACAAAAAAACTATATAAACCGACTTCAACTCTCATATTACTCTCATATAAAAAAAAAATATATATATATAAATCTCATGATCCACTGATCGGATCTTAACCAAATTAGTATGGGACCACCTCTGAGACACAGATGCAAAAAAATTATCGAAATCGGTTGACGTGGTCCAAAATTATGCGGTAACATACATAAAAATGAAATAAAAAAATAAAAATAAAAATTAAAAAAATATTCCGACGAACTGATAACCTCCTCCTTTTAAGGAAGTCGGATAAAATGCTTGGTGCCTAGTTTCGTGAGTATATTGATATTTCTGTGTGTTTTGAATTTTTTTGTGGCACGGTGATATACATACCTATACATTAGACTGCATCACACCCCATACAAAATAAATCGGTACTGTTTTGCCATCGGAGTTACAAAATTTATTGTATTTTTAGACTTCCACCAAAAAATTTCGGAAAAATATGAGGATTTACCTGAGCTGGACCAATTTGAAAATTCCTCCAAAAATGGAGTTTCTGAAATATTAAAAAAAAAATCCCCCCCAAATGACAATACGGCTTAAACTTAAAAAATTTGCATACAAATTTTAAAAAATAAAATAAAATATGTTCAACGTAATCGTAATAATGAGATTTTTGATGCTGTTTTTTAACTTTTTTCAAAGCTCGGCATAAGAAAGACTTGAATAACTGAACCTAAACTATTCCAATTTAGACTTAAATATGAGGCATTTCTTTGCCAATAAATTCATTGAAGGCATGAAAGAAAAAGGTAGGATGAGCGAGCGTTATTTCGAGTTAAATTAAGATGTGTTGGTATTTGAAAAAAAAAAAGTCTAACTCTAAATCAGAATAGTTTTGGCCCAGTTATTAACGTTTTTCGTTAATCAATCTTTGAAAAAGGTAAAAAAACAGCATCAAAATCTCATCATTACGATTCCGTTGAAAAGATTTTTAAATATTTTTATGCACATTTTGTAAGCTTAATCTATTTTGTCAGCTGAGGGGAGTTTTTTCAAAACGGTCTTGAAGAAATTATTTTAATTCATAAAAAAACTCCATTTTTGGCGGTATTTTCTAATCGGTCCAGCTCACGTAAATCTTAATATGTTGCCGAAATATCTTGGTGGACGTCTTTAAATATAATAAATTTTGTAATCCCGCCGGAAAAACCGCAACTTTTTTTGGTGATGCAGTCTAAAATACATATATGCACATTTATATATATGCATATACTAAAAATGTTCGAATAAAAATAATCGGGTCAAGCTGGTTCTTGGCGTCGAAATATGAAATTCCCTGCTGCAAAAATCAGATTTAAACACCGAAATGTCCTATATTTTATTTTAATAAAAAATATTATTAATTAATTAAAAACGATCGACAATTGGTGCACCGTTGCCACTTTAAGTAAAGGTTTGTTACTGGTTCATCGTTCCAGCAGAAATTCTCTAATTGTAAAATATGTACTACTCTGCGAAGAACAGATTTTGCGTTATTAATTGTTGAAGTTTTGCCAATTGTCAATTGTTCGTGAATCAAAAAGAAAACCAATAGCTCCCCAATTATTAAACTTTAAATAAGGTAATCAGCATAGTAATAATTCCCCTGCCTTTATGTACTTACAACTCATTGCAATCAATTTTTATGTGCGTACTTTTTCAAAACTTTACAATTCAACAATGCTGATATGCTTCTGCTTTTCCCTTTCCTTTGATTACTTGCAGACCCGCCCGCAGCGATGTGCCGTCCATGTACATCGAGGAGGACGCGCTGAACGATGAAGAGGTGCTAGCCGGCACACGCTCCGCCGATATACGTGCCGCGCGCGTACTTCCCTCCACGCTGGGACCACGCTGCAGTGCCAGCACAACGAGCAGCCAACATCACTACATCTCCGAGGGTTTCATACAATACGCACAGCCCAGTCTCAATGGTACTATACCCAAATCTATACTTAATAGACTATAGTTTTTAGTTTGTTTTTGTTTTTGTTTGCGTGTATGCGTAAATTCTACATGCATTATGTATTCTTAGTTGCAAATCTTTGTTTTAGTTGTAGTTGTAGTAGCTATTAGTAGATTTATGTAGTTAAAACTTTCCACTTGCTACTTTACACAATACTATTTACTTGTATTTACTTTAACTCGATTTACTTTTTTCTTTATTGGTTTGCTATTGTATTATATGTTCAATGCTCAAACTTCATGGAATTCTTTCTTATGCTGTACTATTTATATTTCTAGATAGTGTATACATATGTACATATATTTATATTTACGTAGAAGTTCGATTTCATGCTTCAACTTCCCTTTCTCCCTTTACCCCAACTTAATATGTACGGTTTATTATTATTTGCAATTCAATGACTGAAAGCGGTTGTATTATTTAGAACTTTATCACAAATAAATAGCTGCAAACTGTCATGTGAAGATATTTCGTTGCCCGATTTGAGAGCTTTGAATCACATACTTATATTTTAAAAATACATATGAATGTAAACTTTGTTATCCGTCACAATTTGATATGTACATACATATGTATTTAACTTACACAGCGAAATGTCTCGCTAGAGATTTATTGAGTGATTTTTGCGTCCCTTGTGAGATCTTTGTCTAGGTCTCGCGTTTTTTCTCTACCGTGTACACTTAGTTCTAAAAATAACCCTTGGCAGGTTTTAATTATTTTGAGTTTATTTTTCCAAAGACTTTCTTCATAATTCGGACAGTACTTCTTCTACAACCTGACGTATCTTGTTCTTCGCTATATCCAATGTTGTGCAAAAGAAGAAGAAATAGATGGCGAGATCTTTGTGGCCAATGCGTGTAGGAATTCATAGCGAAAAAGAGCTATAACGTCAACGTTTTGTGGCATGAGATACCGTCTTGATGAAATCATATTTCTTCCAGATCAAAAATTACAATTCCAGGTCATTCATTGATCATGGCGGCATACCGCTGAGAATTGACTAAGGGTTCATTGCAGCGTGGACGACACCACAGATCCAATAATAAATTACTTAGATTGCGTTTAAATTTTTGACAACGCAGTAAAGCATATAGAATGATTCCTTAGAACTCGTTTTTTATCGAGTTTTTTTTTTACTATTTTTTCTGTTCCACAAAGTTACCTCTTTGAGAAAATAAGAAATTGCGATATAAGAAATCTAAATAAAATAATAATAAAATACTTTGATTTAATTTTAACTAACGTCAAAAAGATCAAAAGTTTATTCTCTAATAGGTCGAATTGAAAACAAAAAATTAGAAAGATATCGGATTCCCCTTTTTAATCGATCATCGATTTAATCGAATTAAAAACGGCATCTCTTATGCAGAATGTACAATGTACATATATACATACATATGTATGCATACTAGGGATGATAAGTTTTTCGCTATTAACGATCCCGGGATTTATATAGTCATTACTTTTCAACAACTTAAATCGAAAAATTTGCTTCTATGTATGTATATTGTTTGAGAAGCTCTCCTACCATAAAATAAATAATAAATAGATGGGCTTGAAACCTCCAATGTCAGTATTTATTTTAAAGAACCTTGTAATTTCAAAGATATGCTTAATTCCAAAAAAGTATTTTAAAAATTCAATGCAATGTAGAATAAGAATATGGGTACCAATTGAAAGAGAAAATTTCTTCAAAATGGAAAAAAATAAAATTTTTGGGATTCACAAGGACGAATACATGGTAATTTTTTAAGCTGATAAAGTTAGAAGGACGAAACTCGAGGTTTGTATAAGCTCTTAACATATAATTCTTTCAAAAGCAAGTACTGCGAAATTTCAAGGATAAAATTTGTAAAGGACATTTGCGATAGTTACCAGTCCTTATGCACCAACAAATTGAATCTGTTTAAATTCTACAGAATTTCCTCTTTAATTTGATACCCATACTTCTTCTCTAAGCGCATTTCACAAAATTTTTAAAATCGTTTTTTAATCATTGACATCAGAGGGAAAAACTAAAAACGCAATTTTACTATATTTGGCCCATGGTTCCGCGAATATATTGTTATTTATATTTTATAATTTGATTTAAGCCTTAATTTTTATTGTTTCCCACAATCACTATTGTTTCTTACTACGTATAGTCTAATATTTGTATTACATTATTTAACTGCCCGTGTAAATATGTAAACAGTTTAAGTAAACTTATAAACTAAGTTTTATGAATATATTTATATTTACCAATTAACAAACAAAAAATCGTATTCATTTAAAATGTATGATTTGGTGTAGCATGGCAATAATTGTAGATAATTTATCTAGTCATCGTAAGAATCTTAATGGAGGTACCATCATCAAAATAAAGATTTAAAAACATTTTAGTTTTTTTGAAAGACCGTTTATTTTTTATTGAAAACAATTTTTTATTTATTAATTTTGCTTATCAGTTTTTTAGCTTTGCCTTTTGCTTATTAATATATTTATATGCACGTTTGATTTGATTTAAAATTCGAACCGCAGTGCGTTAGTCACATTGGGTTTGCCATAGCTAAAGGAACGTTTAAACTGATGAAAAAAAAATCAGATTTTCAGAACTGCATTTTACTTCAAATAAGTTAATCTTTGTTACACAAAAGCTTCGGTATCGGGGCGGCACTTCTCTTATGTAATACTTTTGGAATTTCAAAACCGGTGCTTTTAATTTTATCTCCATTTTAAGTTGTGTGTTAGGCAGCATTAAGGTGTCACACATATACGTAACCTACCGCAAGACTGGTGAACAGAATAACGTCGAGCGCCTGATGGGATCCAGAACGCACCAAAATCGGACGCTACATTATACAGTATATTAAAAAGAGATAGTGGCTTCCTTCTTTAATTAAATGCGAGTGGATCGAACAAATCCTTAGAAGCAGAATCATAATCTCCACCAATGGTACAGCTACGCTGTCCCGTTATGCAAATATAGGCACTACCCTAGGAGGAGTTCTGTCAGGTGAAGTTTGCTTCTAGACGGGACTGGAGTAGGGGCAGAATAGTTGAGGGGTTACAAAAAGCATGTATTTTCTCAAATAACCAGACGGTAACAGAGTCTAAAACAGTAAGAGAAATTCGCGTTAGGCGATTCGCGTTCGAATCAATTAACATCTCTCTCATCTGATAAACCAAATATAGAGGAACTCTAAAGAAGTCGGCCAAAAATAAAACCGCCTATTATGAAATCGTACGATATACGCGTGCATTCTGTTATCCCCTATTGTGAATCGATGTTAATCGTATGAAATCCGATAGTTGGCGCTAGCTGATTTGTGTTGGTTCACAATAAAAAGTCGCAGCTAGAGGAAAGTAAGGAAACGACCGCAAAGTACCTTTGCGAGTGCCCAGCATTGGCACGCATATGACATGAAGAAATAATAAAGGCGAAGTTGAAGATAAAGACGAGAATGAAAACAAAAATAAAGAATGAAATACATACAAATTAAGGTAACTGGTAGGTAAGAAAATTCATTGAAATTTTCCGATAAAACTCGAAATATACCCAGTCATAAGATATATAGATTTTGAAAGTTATCAAGTATTTTATCACGGAAGTTTATGGTTATCAGTATTTACGAATGATCGTGTTTATTAGGTTATCGGAATGTATCGAGTTATTCAAATTGAACAATGTTTATTGAACTATCGAAAGTTATCGGGGAGCAGAAACTAAGTTGTCGAAATGTATCGATTGTTATCGAGTTATAAAAATATATACCGAAATCTATAAAGTTAATGAAATTTTATTTTATATGTATAATATTTATTGAATTATCAATATTTATCCAGTGACCAAAATTTATGGAGTTATCGAGATTTATCGAGTTAACGAAATATATCTCGTTGTCGTCACGTATCGAGTTCTTTCAAGTTATTGAGTTATCGATATTTATTGCTTTATCGAAATTTGATGGTGGTTATCGAAATTTGTCGGTTTTTGGAATACTCAAAGTACATCGGGTTATCGAGATTTCAAGAACTACATGAATTAATCTAGTTATCAATATTTATCGATTTATGGAATTTTAGAAAGTTACCAGAGTGTATCGAGTTATCGAAATTTATCAGTAAATATGGAAAATTATAGAGATATCAAAATCGAGTTATGGATATATATCGAGATTTATAAATTTTTGAACTATAAAAAATTTATCCAGTTATCCAGAGTTATGTAAATTCATAGTTTCTAAAATTTGCGACTTATCGAGAACTATCAAGGTACACAGTGTCCCATGGTTGGCATGTCACCCTAATTGAAAATTTTTTTTAACTTTCCACATTTCATCATTTGTCTAATGGAATTTGCCAATTGCTCGCAAAACACTAAAAATAATTATAGCTCTTTTATCAATGCAGAAAAATCACAGTTTAGTTTTGCTAAAATTAATTCTGATGTTGTTCGGGTGTACAGCAACCCTATAGTACAATTACCCTAATAAATCTTTGACCGATTTAACTGTCGGTGGATTGTCTCTGCATAAACTGGTATACAAGAAAAACTTTATGGAATTACTTATATGCAACATAAACACAAAGAACGCTGTACTGAATGGTACCCACATGCGTGTGAAAATAATACATAAAAAATCTTTAGATTGTGAAGTTTTAACTGACATTTCAAGTGGCTTGCGAATATTATTTTCTAATGCACAATTGTATCCTACTGCCAGTGGAGTTTGTTCAATTGACAGATTGTGGTTCTAAAATTCAGAAACTTCAGACCAAGGTCATTTGTTTGACGACCAAAGGGTTTTTATAAAAGAGAAAAACATTAAATACGAAGGTATCCTTCAGAGAACTCCACTTCCACTTACGTCATTACCTCAGCTCACATTAGCAGCGTTCAATCGTTTGCTTGCACAACACTGCAACGCTGCACAAAACAGATATTCGTAAAATATGCAGCTTTGTTTTAACAAAGACATCGCATGC